CCCATGCCTGCACACATGTAGGCACTTGGCATGACCTGGGGAGCAGAAAGCCAGCCCAGAGTTGCTCTGATAACTTGTGATGGCTGGACCTGACCCCCGTGCTTAGAAGCACTGAAATAATACAGTGCCAGGAACCAAAAAATGGTAAAATACTGACACTTTCAATACAGATAAACAAGGAAGAACCTGTGGTACTAACTGCTACCATGTGCAATTTAGACAGAAAATTTATTTAGCTGTCACTACAACTGAGAACAGTGCCTGTGTTTTGTCATTCAAATAACGGTGAGTAAGCAAGCTCTCACCATATGCTTCAGGGCATGGAGTGGCTCTCACAGGGAACTGAGGAAAGCATCCCCGTGGGGATCCTGTTGTGCAGCTCTGAGATCTCAGGGATCTGTAGATTAAATTCAATGAAGAATTTGCTACTGGCCTCAAATGTGTGCTGTGTTGGGCTGCTTTTCCACGATGCTTCTTCCTTGGATCAAAAAATTTGCTCCCCCCCCAGTGTCTCCCACTTGGAAGAGAACAAAGAGAAAAGAAAAGAGGGAAAAGAGAAGGAAAGAAAAGCACAGATGAAAGAAAGGGAAAAAATCATACAGGTCAGTGTAGTCTGCTGCCCCTGGAAAAACCCTGGTACTTTCTGACTATTCTTATGTGGTATTGCACACTGGCAAAACGGCAAATAGATATATCATACCACTTTGTACAAACTCTTGTATGGAGAGCACAGCACAAGAAGCAAAATCCTTATACCTCTTCTCTGTCTAGCTCTAAAACCTGTTACATACCCCACAAAACTTTATCATCCTTCAAGCTGTCTGTGGGATGAAGTGTGGTGCTGGTCTGACAGGCTCCCAAAATCCCCAGCGGCCGTAGGGGAGAGTGTAAGGGTGCACAGACACACAAGTGTGAGGAGGAGGGCTAGTGACTGATGTATCTGAACACATATCAAGACATCTGCCTTATTTCTCTGATAAAGGCCTTCAGATTGCCTAGAGAGAAATCCCTTGGGAACTGGGAACGTTGGGCATTATCAGGCAAGAATTCACCTGAGCTGTCTGCAGCTCCTGTATATCGAGAGGGACCCGCGGCTGTCACTCACCTCTGTGCACGTTGTCTCTGCAGCACTGTGTGCTTCGCAGCTCACACAGACGAGTGCTGTGAAAACCAAAAGCTGTAAACCACAGGCGATTGTGGAGAGAGGTGGGCTGCTGCAGTGGATGATCTTGTGCAGTCTTCCCTGAATGAAAGCAAGACTAAGCAGAGAGATCAGACAAACTGGAGGAGTTGGCTAGAACACAGGTTGCAAGGAAAAGACATGCTTGCTGAACCTCCCAGGCTCAGTGTGAGCAAAATAGTAGTTTCAGAGTGAAAGAGGAACTTGCCTGCTCTAAATACAGGCAAGTTACTGTGTGAGGATGTTTTTCAGGGGCAGAACAGATTGTCAAAAAGTGGGAACGACATCTAAGTGCTTGTGTAGGGTGAAATGTCTCCCCTAAGCACAGTGTAGGACAGATGAGATTGTAACATCCCACCAAAGGGGAATTTAATGCAAAGGGATGTTTGAGTGGAACGAAGTTTGATACATCACTTAGGAAAGACACAAAACTTGTAAAACAGCTGAAAGCCAGAGCTCTGCTTTGGGGCCTGGCAGCAGTGGTGGACTTGGCGGTATTAGGTTTACAGTGGACTTGATCTTAAAGGTCTTTTCCAACCTAAACTATTCTGTGATTCTAAGATCTGTGCCTGTATTTCTGCAAAAAGGGTTAGTGATGCAGGACTCTTGTAATAGAAAGAGTTTACTTAAAAAGCAATACTTCAGTCTGAAAATGAACTCTCTTCCTCTTGGATTTAGATTACAACAAATAATCGGCTTTTTGGGGTGGGACAATATTTCTAACCATCTCAAAGATGGGCTTATGTGTGGCAGCCACAGCCAGGAGGGATCTTGTTGCAGCCAAGCAGAGGTGTCCTGGCTGCCTGGGATGGCACTGAGCACCAGCTCTAGTCAAACCGTTCAACCTGCCTTTTTCTTTCCTTTCTTAACTGACTGAAATACTAGCTTGACAGCTTTGTTTTCAGTAGACTTAAGTGGCACTCATTCTTCACCACCTAATAGAGAAAGGCATGGTGAAAATTTACTGGGCTCAGCAAATGTGCCTCAGCCTGATGGATCCAAACCAGCCCTGGTGACTTGATCAGTGAAGCTTCAAGCAATGAAGATGCCATCTGAAGAGCATCAAATTTGACACCCAGGAAGGTGGAGACACCTGAGCTTCTCTGGTGCCAAGGTGCTCTGAAATAGTGTGTGAAGACCATGGCTGTGCTGCTAGCTGGAGCTGATGTGTCTGTGAGGTTTCACCTGGGTCACACTATGCTCATCCCTGCAGGTGGCTGGGTAGAGGGGAGCAGTCAACACAGCAGGAGTTAAGCTTAAAATCCAGTGCAGATCTCAATCTACTTTGTATATTCACCCAAAATTTTGTGGGGACTATTGGAGATGGCAGGCACTGAGAGGCTACAGAACCAGGGCACTGGTGCAGTTTTCAGCTCACTCCACATCCCACTAACAGCTCTGCCACCCTCACAACCACGTCTGTGTTTGCTGGAAATCCTGCTTGCCCTGCAGCTGGTCACAAAAAATTCAGAGGAATTTTTTTGGTATGTTTACTCCACATTTATCTGCCATTTTCCATGTTAATGCTCAAAGACTAAGGCTTGTGTGCCCCTGTCGTCCCCACTGTGCTCTCTTGGAGTGCAGAAGCTTGGACTCACACTTGTTTCTGCATGGACTTTTTTTTGGCAGGTTGTGAGCCCTAGCAGTGTGGATACTTTCTCAAACCACCCATACCAGAAACCTCAAATTTCAAATGAATGTGGTATTTTATAAGAGAATTCCTCTGAATCAAGAGGGGACATCAGCCAAAGCTAATCCTGCCTCATTCTGCAGTGCAGTGAACCCTATTATTATGCGTCATGGAATTTATGTGTGATGTAAGGAAACAGAAATAACTTCAGAGATGGCTTTGGCTGGGTTTGTTTTTTTTTTTGGTGTTGTGGGTTTTTGTCTCAATTTCATAGACTCACAGAATATTCCAAGTGGATGTTCTTCCTTAAGGGGAAGTGACATACAAGGATCCATAAAGTCCTGCATAGCACAGCCCCAAGAATCATACCATGTGCTTGAGAGAATTATTCAAATACTTCTTAGGCTCTGGCAGTCTTGGTGCCATGACCACTGCCCTGGGCAACTGTTCCAGTGCCCAACCACCCTCTGGGGGAAGAACCTTTTACTAATATGCAAACTGAACCTTCCGTGACACAGTTTCATGCCTTTCCCTTGGGTCCTGTCACTGGTCACCCAAGAGAAGAGATCAGTTCCTACCACTCTGTTTCATGTCACAGGGAAGCTATAGACCTTGATGAGGTCTGCCCTCAGCCACCTCTTCTCCAGGCTGAACAGACCAAGTGACCTCAGCTGCTCCTTTTATGGCTTCACCTCTAGACCTTTTGCCAATCTCTTTGATGCTTCTTTGGACAATTCCTAATAGCTTTATATCTTATACTGAGGCACACAAAACTGCACACAACACTTTGAGTAATGAAGAATTTGTTATGAAATTGAGCGACTAAAGCTCCTCTTCTTGGCCATGTGCTCAAGTGATTGCTGAGCTTAGTAAAAATGACTAACGATTAGACATACTTGAATTATTCATTATGTGTGCCTATCTGAATAATTTAGATCTTTGTGCTTGTAAAACAAAATGGGGAGGGGTGAGAATTTATGGCAGTAGTTAGTGGGATGGGGTTTCAGTGCTGGTAGAGGGCTTTGCTGTGGACACCCACTGTGGGCTCAGGCAGGCTGCAGTCCCTCTGGGAAAAGCTGATTCACCTCCCATGTTCAACTGAGACTGCTCCTTTTCTGGAAGCTGCTGTTTGCTGTTCCCACATGCTGAGTGGATTCTTTCTCCATCAGCGCATGCAGGGAGTCTGTCAGATCACAGGTGTCACTGTGAGAGTCCCCTCATGACTCATTTTCTGCTTGAAATTTTACTTCCTCTGTGCTTGGTTGAAACTCTTTCTGCTGTAATGATGAGAAATTCAGGAGCATGCAAACACCAACAGTAATAATTGACTTCAGTGTGATTTTGCTTGTCACTGAGCACTCATGAGATGCTGAATGCTGCTGAGGGCTGAGCACATTGCTCTCTCCACACTGCCCCTCCAGTGCTGTGGCACCCCACAAACAGTCACTCTGCCCTCAGTCAGAAAGTCCCCTGGAGGGAGTGGTACATCCCCCAGAAGTTCTCAATTTTAAATTGATCTCTTGAGCTAGACAGGAGGAACAGCTCACAAGGCTCACTAAAACACAGTGAGTCACCCATAGTGTCTGCCCATGGGTGGTGGCCTTCCCCCCCTGCAAATCACCAGGGATGTAGTGTCAGTCCTAGTGGGGACTGTGAAGGTGAAGTGCTGGTGTGCTGTCAGCCCAGCCAAGAGGCACAGACTTGGGCATCACATGGACTGTTGGCATGATGCTGAAGGCACAGGATGCCATTTACCACTGCTGCTCCAGAAAAGTGAGTCCCATTTCTGGATGGGATCCTGGGTCCTGCAGGAGCCTTTTCACCTGGGTAGTAGTATGGCTGGCTGGGGCAAAGGTAAAGCATGTCTGATATCAAATCTCCCTGGCCTAGCTTTTGTGTCAGGAAAGGCTCCCGGTCAGAGCACCAAGAGCTGCACCTCTAAAATGCCTGGCCCCTGACGGTGTTGCAGGTGGGATGAACCTGGAAAATTGCTCTTCTTCCAGGGCTGCCTTGGGAAAAATGTGTAATGACTCTAGGAGTAAGTGGGAACCAATCTAGGACATTTAAAAAAAAAAGTGCAATGAGTTTTGTATATATATTAAAAAGATTTTAATATCCTCAGAATCCCTATGAAATATTCATTGTCTCTTATTTAACAGATAAATCATGTCAATCTCTGAGTCTTATGTAGCTCTGAAGAAAAGGAGATTGGCAACCCAACACAGTGAGGCCTCTAAAACACTTGCCTATAGAGGATCAAAGCATTAAAATAATTTTTAGCCATTTCTCTCAAGCAGGGATTTCAAGATTTTCCTTGTTTGTTGGCTTTTTGGCACCACAAACAAGAGACAGGAATCCAAACAATTGCTTTAAATCCTGGGTGTTAAGGACCCAGTCCAGGGTTTGGCTTGAGGAGGTGGGTTTTGGGCTGAGACTGTTCCCTTGCTGAAGCTACATGGCATATGGGGAGGACCAGGATCACCTGCACTGCCCTACCCTATCATAAACCTTCATATCTCAGAGGGAAACCCTACACTGCCTCTGCTGCCAGTGCAGCAGGTGCTGCAGGCTCAGGCTTCACTCTAAGGAAAAGCCTAAAACAGGATGATGCAGCAAGAGCATAAATTACTGTCAGGAAGAAACGGGTGCCGTAAAACATGTCAGACTTTATGTGAAAACCCTCTGCTTCATGCTGCAGCAATTGACCTTTCTGAAATCCTAAACAAGGGTGGGAGAGAGTAGCCAGATGTGCTCTCCAGGCCACACTCCCTCTGCACGTGAGCAATGCCCCTTTGCCTGCCTTCAGCGGTGTGGGGACACAAGTGGGACAAGAGCTGCAGCTGTAGTGCACTCTGAGCTGGGAACCAGCCTGGCTGGTGAATCTTTTGGGCAGCCAGGGACCAGGATGCAGGATCCCCCTGCCCCAGGGATTCCTCTTTCTCTGCTTTGCCACCAATCCCTGGTGGAGGACAGAGCCACTGACTTCTCTGGCACTGATGGTTGAAGTTAGCGTGGAAGACACACCACATCTTCAATGCAAAATTTGCATTACTTGAGCAAACCACCTGCACAGATACTGACCTAGATGCCCCTTGAAAAAGAAGAGAGTGTGACCAGGGATGTGATGTGACGAGGGATGTTTCTAGCTGGTTGAGAGAGGTGATTGTCCTGCTCTGCTCTGTGCTGGTGCAGCCCCACCTTGAATACTGTGTGCAGTTTTGGGCACCACAATACCAGAAAGATATAGGGCTGTTAGAGAGTGCCCAAAGGAGGCAGTGAATATGGTGAAGTGCCTTGAGGGGAAGCCATATGAGGAGCAGCTGAGGTCACTTTATTTGTTTAGCCTGGAGAAGAGGAGACTGAGAGGAGACCTCATCGCTGGATACAACTCCTTCCTGAGGGGCAATGGAGGGACAGCACTGACCTCTGCTCT